ATGGGTCGGAACCGACTCGATGGCACTTAACAACAACAACAATATATATATATATATATATTATGGAAGACAGATGAGATTTTGGTAGAGACAAAGGTCATGATCAAATAAGAATGGATAAGATAGATTAATCACGAACAGAAAACTCTAAGACTCCCAAGTTGGCTGTGATTAAGCAGGGAGGCTATAGGAACATAAGGATGAGGGGTAAGGAGCGAAGAATCAGAACCAACAGTGGGGCACACACTGGGCAAACAGTTTGAACTTCATGTAGAAATGAAGCCAGGAGACACTGAGGTTAAGAATGGCATTCGTTGAGATGTTGTAGTTAAATGCTGTTGAGTTGGTTCCAACTCACAGCGACCCTGTATAGGGGGTTTCTGAGGAGCGGCTGATGAGTTTGAACTGCTCCTTAAACTCTGTAGCAAAATTTTAATTAAATGGCTTGACTGATGGCAATGACAAGTTATAAGACTCTAAGATGAGCTCCAATAAAACCACTGGTGGCAATCTATTAATGTTGGTGCTTAAGAGAATTACTGACGCTAGGTGATGAGGGGGCGCCATCCATGGCCAGAGAGTAACACTGAATCTGTTGCCATAAAGAGGAGAGCTTCATGAACAAAACAAGGCAAATAGCCCAAGGGAGCGTATGTATCCTGAAGCTGTACAGACACGTTTCAGAAATGAGGCGTGTCTTGTGAGGACTGACTGGAAATAGAACTGAGATGGTTTATACGAAGAGAACACAGAATTAGAGCAGAGATGGCTGGATGCTGGAAGCTCTGGAGACAGGGTCAGGTGAAGTGGCCTGGAGTGCTGGACATGTGGCGTGGCTAAGTGGGGAGCTCGGTAGGGAGCTACCACTGGAGGGCAGACTGTGACTAAGATGGGGGGTTCTGAGGTGATTCCAGGAAGATTTGTTCGGATGATAAGTACAGAAAAGGATGTGGCGAACAGGGTGAGGATCAGGATGAGGGTGAAAGGGATGGATGGAAACTACAGGCTAAATGCAGCAGTCCATGCAGCTGAGGACTGAACCGAGGGAGGGAGTGTGAGCAGTGTGCAGGGGAGGAAATCTGGAAGACGGAAGCAGGCTGAGCTGTGAGTGCCAAAAAGATAAGGTGTATGCCTATGCTGAAAAGGCTGTGTTAAATCCCTGGGAATGATACACAAAGGGCAGGAGAGAAGGTGAAGACCAGGTTTTCAACCAGGAGGAAGGATGCTGAAAAGCACCATCAAAGTTGGCCCTTGATGAAATGTGGATTGGCAGACATCAAGTCACATTGGAATAAAGAAAGAGAATTGGAAGTTGAGGAAAGGCAGCACTGTGGCGGAGGCCTACGCAGCAGAGTGGCGTGGAATGCAGATCTAGAATGGAGACTCCTGTGAGGGCCCCAAGCAGGTCTACTTGGTCACACCTGGGGTATAAAGGTCCTGTTGTAATGAGAAGTCTATAAAAGGATGAAGAGCAAGGACCTGAGGAGGCAGTAGCAGATGAGCTCTTGAAGCCTTGGAGGGGAATTGTTCATTAAAAGTCTTGGCTAACAGGAAAGGCTAGAGGAGGCTGATTAAGGCAAATGGTGCTAAGAGCTGTTGCTGGCAACTTGACAATCATTAGGTTTGGCCTGTTAGATAGAGTGTTTGTCCCGACGATGAGCTGTTGCTACTAGATGGGAAATGGATAATGATTCTGAGGCAAGAACACCTGCACAGAAGAGTGTGGCAGCCATTGCTTCTCTAGAGAGGTGGTAAGTGACAGGGTGATGGAGAGGACGGTACTGTGGAGGGGGGTGGTGGTGGTGGTGAGTCGGTTCCGACGCATAGCAACCCTGTATATAAGGTTTCTGAGAATGACTGATGGGTCTGAACTGCCAACCTTAAGTTACTAGTACAGTGCTTATCCTACAGAACCACACCAGGGCTCCAGAGTATTATGTAGTGTGCCGTTAAAGTGACTCTTAGGAGTAAAGACTGGCCAAAAGTGACAGACATTTCTTAGGGAGACTTATACGAAAAGACTACACAGGAGGAGAGGGGGAAGATGAGTGCTGGAAGCCATCAAAGGAATGAGGATGTAGAACTTAGGCTGGGGTGCAGGATATAAGGTGGGCTGGAAGGCATGAGGAAAACGGCAGAGTTGCATCATCAGTAGGGAGCTATGAGTTAAGCTAGAATGCAACCAAAGAAGGGGAGAGGGGATGTGAAGAGAAACTAGACAAATAAAAACTGGTGTTATAAGACAGTCCTATCTGGGACTCTCTGCGCCACATGTGAAGCGGTGTGATCAACAGAGGGAAAGGGTAGCGTGTCAATGATGAGGACCTGGGCCATGGGCCAGTGGCAGGACTCCCAGGGCGGTCTGGGCTGAATGCAAGTGTGTTTGGAACAATGTGGAGGAAACCGGAGGAAAAGACGACTGAATCCAAGTGAATGATAGGAAACAGATGCTGTGCTGGTACAATAGAAGGAATGGTGGTGGTGCCATGGTTTAAGTACTCAGCTGCTAACCCAAAGGTTGGTGGTTCAAACCCACCAGTGGCTCCACAGGAGAAGAGACGTGGCAATCTGTTTCTATGGGGGAACAGCCTAGAACACCCTATGTAGCAGTTGTACTCTGATATACAGGGTGGTTGTAAGTTGGCCGTAGGTAAAGTTGTTTCTCTAGGATTAATCAAGGAAAGCGTGGAAGAAACTGAATCCATAAAGTACTGGTCGGTTTTAATGGAAGGGGCATGGCATTGACTTGTCCCACAGAGCAGGACTAACTAAGGAAGAGGAGAGTTGTGGAGCAGACCAAGGGTGCACTAGCCTGGAGTCCTGGGGTGGCACGGTAGGGTCAGCACTGGATGCTAATCCTACACTGAACCGGTTTGACTGGTGGTTCAAACCCACCAGTCACTCTTTGGAGATCCATTACCGGGTTGCTATGAGTCAGAACTGATTCCTTGACACTTAAATACAACAGATAGTAAGTGGAGTGGCATCAGGACACAGAACACAAAGAGCAGAGACCCCGAATTGGAAATACTGAAATCTGTTTGGTCAAATGTTGGGTCTTAATGGCAGACTTCTGAAAGCAGTATAATATAATGGGAAAAGAACAAGGAGCTGAAAAGGACCAAGGCACTTGGTGGGAAATGTTAAGTGGAAGGGTTAGAAGGCAATAGGCTATGATGAACCATGGCGTCAGCCCCAGGAACAACCATAA